TATATATATATATATATATATATATATATATATATATATACGTTACTGTCTACTTTATACATACATTTACTTGTTTATTTATATTAATCAAGAATAATAGATTTTAGATGGGTCTTTAAATTTCTACAATACGGCGCAAGCAAAACTTCATCAATCAGAGTAACCATTAGAATATTCACATTTTTGCCAGCATGGTAGATGTCTTTTTATTCTTGTGCTGCAAAATACTGAATTTATAAAGCGAATAACGAGGGGATTTCATTAATCTATTTGGTTGAGTTTTTTCATTGGAAATGGTTTTCCCAATGCTTGGGAAAGTTGTTGCCGTTGCTGATTAACTAAATTCGTTGAGTACGTTGGATAAGGCGGAGTTCTTATTTTTAAACAAGTTCTGTTTAACACTTTCACAATTTTGTACATGTCACAACGAAGTTATGGGGGTGGCCGGTGTGACACCTATGTGTTTCATTTTCTTTCCCGGTGGTTTATTTTGCGACGCGAGTTTTTTCCTAGAATTCTTATAGTCCGTGGGTAACTTATCCTGCATATGTGCTGCGATGAGCCTTGTCCATAGGAGGACCATAGGAGGATTCCTCATAATAACTACTTAATTAATTCCTCATTTTGTGGTGGGAGTGTATTGTTGGTGAAGGGCATGTAAGGCCTAGAGAGTTTAGCCAGTAGAGGCGTAGAAATGCGTCTGCCTCAAAGGACAGGTATCACATGCAGTTCGCACCATCATTTTTGCAAACACTTCGTTGTTTTCTAGGTTTCAGTCGCTACGTTGACTTTTGGGTATTTTAATGGAACGAAAGAATGTGAAAACTGAAAGGTAAACATCTTAATATTCCTTGCAATGGAAGCAATGGTGGTTGCCTATAGGGTTTGCAATGACAGGAAATCTGTCATTCTTCCGGGTCAATATTGTATATACATGCGTGTGTATACACATGCATGCGCATGTACATATGCATATGTATACGTGTATATATTTGTACTCATATATATATATATATATTTACAAGTTTGTATATATTTGTACTTATATATATATATATATTGTATATGTGTATATATTTGTACTTATATATATATATATATATATGTATTTATAAGTTTTAGACTTTTGTAACGTATTGCAAATGTGTATACTGCACTATATTTGTTAGTTGTAACAGTTTTTCTTTATTATAGCATTCTATTTCTGTCTTATATGTGGCTAATGGAGGATAAAAATGCACTCAGATTGTACGCCGTTACTCGTCCTTCTATCGGGCGATCACCAAAGCTCATCACAATGGCAGAAATTGCAAAGCGATTTGTGAAGGTTTCACCCACTGACGCAAAAAAGTTGTGGGAAGACCAGTACGCAGGTATCAATTAAATCCGACAGTTTCAATGTCTATTAGCTGTTCACGAACTTTCATGTCAGGAATGGCCTAATTTACATATTGAGGTGAAAGTAGATTACGAAATTAAGAATAAATGGATTGGTTTATACATTCACTTTTGGATAACTTCAGAGATGAATTTTAGGTGCTAATGATTCCTGTCATCATACGTATGTTCATGGAAAGTGCAAAAGCGAAGCGATGGGAATTTACTGCGAGGTGGGCCGAAGGACCCGGACCTACTTCGTCCTCTCTGGTTCCGTGTTATCTGTTTGGCCAGTAGTGGAGGAAGTTATGTCGGATCGTGATCGACGGCCATCTCGTATGCAAGTAATTCGTGTGAGGACAGAGCAAGATCAGAAGATCGTCGGTATGAGTTATAGGCTTTTATTATTTTCAAAAGAAACTTATTTTTACGGATTTATAACATATCATGTACCATATGCCCAGGTGTGTTGGTGCTTCCTCATTTCGTGCGCACCCTAGTAGCACGTCTCGAAGAGCATTGTTCAAGATGCTTCTTGGAAGCAAAAAAGGAGAAGGAAGCGAGAAAGAATTAGGGTTATTTTTGATTATGTGTCTCATCACGAAAATTTGACCGTGAGCCTTCTTTTCTCTGTGGTTGGATATGTTTATTATGTGATTTCGAAGAGCTTTAGAATTCATTGCAATTTATCGTTACAAAAGTCTTTTCAGGGGTACTTTGCATCACTATGTTTTTTTCCTTATTGATGTTGTCCATAGTTCCACTATGTGTTCATTCTGGTGAATTGTGTGTTGTTACAACGGTTTTATGGTTATAAGCCGTTTTTTTTTGTAAAAATTTGAGGCTGTTGCATTTATTTGCAGCATCGCTGTCCATATGACATATCACCTTGTTGTTTCGTCAATCTTGTTAATTTCGTTTGCTGGCCAATTTTATTCTTGCTGAAATGCAGCACCCTGGTGATGGCCTTTGTTGTTAGTCGTTCTATTGCCTACTTTTTATATCTATTTCTTTCCTAATTACTAGTTTTGTCTATTGTTTTATGCTTTCAGTCACGACAATGAGTTTCAGGAGGTACGCGATATAGGGAATTATTCATTTTATATTTTGTCCATGTGCTCTAAGTAATTTGACCTCGCGAAGAACTCTGAGGAGTTCCGTGGGACGTATATACTATTACCGAATGAAAGCAATGTGATAAAGATTTTGGAAAAGCCGGTCTTGACAGAATGAAGTTGCTTTTTGTCTCTTGTTTCGTGTTAGGATTTACATCCAAGAATTGTGGATTTCTGGTCATGCCAGCTAGTGGAGACCTAGGTTTACTACCATTTACAACAGAAGGTTTGAATTTTATTGTGGTGAGAGAATTCCTATTGTCAACATGGAAAGGCGGAAAATAAAACGGCGCTCCGTTTTTGCTCATCATTTCTTCACTGGTCGTTTTCTTTTCCACCTTGAAAACAGCGTTAATAACTTGCAAGCACCTTAAGCTTATATAGTGCTACAGCTACAGTACTGCTGGTTACTCGGGGCGTGATGTTTCGTCATCACGAGAATGGTGCTAGTTCGATTCCGCTACGGGCCAATTAAGCCTCTTATCTCTCCGGTGTTGGGAAATTGGTACCGGATTTGTCTGAGAAAATACTCTCTGCAGTCCAACTGGTAACGCTCCAGCCCGGCTATCTCAGAACTCCGGGGAGAATTGCTCGACCAGCATTCTACAACATTCAAGATGAAATGGAAATCGTCAAGCAGCAACTGAAGCCACACGTGAGTGTTGGAAGATCTTCGTGGATAATGGATGCGAGGAAACGAATCGAATGCGGGAAGTGCTGGGATCCGCACAGTAGACGTGAAGACGCGTTAAATAAAATTTAAAAAAAGTTAGAAATAACTGTTAGTTGCGATTAATCTGGACAAAGTAAGGCCTGCGATTGCTTCTAGAAACGCTTATGACATTGAGAAAGTTCCATAACCACCATGATAAATTCGACTTTATCGTAATCCTTAAATTCTTGGAGAAAATCTTTGCCTCTCAGTTAACATAGTAGAGGCTCTATTTCATACAGTCAGTCTATGAATGAAAATCCTGTAACATTACACTGAAGCCATGAATCATAAATGCATTTGGATTTGATCCTCATTGCTGTTAGACATCGACGGAAATTTTCCAATAGTTTTGAAGCCCAAACTTCCAAAAAAGACTTCGATATTCTTGACGAAAATTAAAACACGCTAAATCGTGCTAAGGATAGGAACCTTTAGAAATTGGAACCATATTAAGCATATATTTAGTAGTTCATTCCAACGAACATCTACTTGGTCTTATTTGAAGTACACAGCATCTCTCAGCATTGGTTACAATACTGTTAGTCGTCAGGCAACTTGTGCTTACGACACTAAAAGCTCTATCCATCCCTTCCAGGGCTGCTCAGTGAACTCTGATGGGGCTAAGAACATGGAGAGCGTAGCAGGCTTAGAATGGGGACTTTTTTCTCAATTTTTCATTCCCGTATGCATTTTGGTACTGATCAAAAGGAGGAATTCATCACATCTACCTGGATCACCTGTATTGGAGTTGCTCAATCTCGTTGGTAAATTGGACACAACGACTTCCTCCGAATGATTTGCGCAGATTTCCTGGAAGAAAAACCTGCGAATGCACGAACTCAGTTCTGTGACGAGATGACGATGTGACGCCACATCGGGAAGACGAACAATTGTGGACCACCGACCGACTCAGATCATCGGCTCTGATGAAAACGAAGGAATCGAAACGTTAGCCGAATAAAGCTGTTTATCAATCTCGTGTAAGCTCAACAATTTAAATACAGCAAAAGTAAAAGGAAAAAAGTAAAAAATTAAAAAGAATGAATGTTGCTATTTCAATCTTCGATGAGAATTCGCCACTGTGCCGGTAGGTAGGTACGGTGTAGGTAACACCTCAAGATATGAGGGTCGTTGTGCCCAAGTTGGAACCCCGTATGAGCCATTTCTCGTGTACTCTCCAGGGATCGTTGACGTGTAGACGTTTTCCATGCTATTGGCGAACATTCCAACCACGTGCGCGCAACCAAGTAACCAATAACCAATGAGTTTCGGTTTTTCCCCTTCATAAAATGCCACCCATTTTTGGAGAGCCATCATATTTCCTAAAAATATGCCATGTTCTGTACTGAGCAAAAATGCTCTAGATTCCACAGAAGACGAGGAATATGTTAAATAGTGCTGCTGACTAACTACCGATAGCAAAGCTTGAAATCGGATACGCTCTGTTAGCTGGATCGGCTGAACTCCCTTTCAGTCAATCAACTATGTTATAACTGCTTCTGTGTGCTTTTATTCTAGCTTCAATACACCTAAACTGACTCAGTTTGTCTTATTGAGCCGTGTCATTACGCATGATTTAGGGTTACAGAGGGATTTAAGGAGTTACGGTCATGTTAAAGGCCTAGTTTCACTTGGTCTAATAAGGAAAGCCCTTTGTAAAAATCAGCGTATCATTATTTACAAACGCCACTGTTAATAAGTGATGGGTGATTTTTGTAATAAATCCACAACGGTGATTACAAATAGAATAGAGCAGAGGTGGTAGTAGGAACCGTAGTTCTGCTAGATTCTGAGTCGACGAAGCAGGATTGCGTGCTATATGTCGGTTACAACTGTGTTCACTTGACATCCATCTTCAACTGATTCCATAAGGAGATAGTTTAACACAAAAATAGACCACCTTCCCCTTTTAGATGGATCAGTACTAAAACATAAGGACTCGTTTGAGTGCACAGGATTGGAGTTTTTCTCTAACAGGCATCACAGTGGGTTTCAAGAAAATAAATCTATAAATAGACTCAGTGCTGAGTTATTTTAATATTGTTAAACGTTCTTCAATGTAATACTATTATGGAAGCAGATCTTTTCGCATTCACTTCCAGAGATACAATCAAAGATTTCTCTTGATATTAAGGGAAGAGAAATCTAAGAGCTTTAGAACGACTCTTATAACACCAACTGCATACTTGATGGGATGTATGTAAAGAAAAGATATATAGACTCTTGTGTGTTTTCTTTGAGTTCTTCTATACGAAGAACAAGAGCAACAGAAAGCAGGAATGTGGGACGAATCGCCAAGTTTGATTGGATTTGAGATCTGCATCCTCCACTCTTGAAGAGTGACTACAACAAATTGCTGTCCATTCTCAGTGCAAAATTCCTAATTTCAGTGGTTAGTTGCATAGACTCTTGCTCAATTCGCTGATGGTTTTGAGACTTTTACTGAGGTACAAGTAAAACCGAAGACTTGCCATCTAAATTTGGAATGAGCGATGTACTAAATTTCTAGCCTTTGACGTAGCAACAGATCTGCTGTGTTAGCAGTTCAGAAATCACGCCGAACATCATCAATAACCCCCTAGGTGCTTTCGGGATTCTCTCAATACATTGAAACTGGTTACGACCATTCCATATGGATTATACGAAAATGTATTGGCTCAGGGGAATCGTAACATGGCAACAGGCGATATAGTCAAATCACCCTGCATTATAACTGTTTAGTTTCCTGAACAGATCTACTTTTTGATATTGTCTTCTATTTCATGGAATGACTTGCCTAGTTTACTAGCAGAAGAAACCACTGAAAAATGGTACACTTGCCGTGGTTTACTTCTCGTACTAAGCGGTGGCGTGGTTATCAAGCCTGAATTGTGTGAGATTATATTAAGCCGATTAGTTTTCGCCAACAACCGTTATCGGGCACCAGTCTAAAAGCTGATTGCAGAAATTCATTCTATATCCTGTTTGATAGCAGTTGGATATAATTTTCGGATATTCGTTATAGGATGAGGCATGTGTGGCGCAATAATTAGAGGTGCTCCGCTATACACGCTAGATTCATTGGCCTGATCCCACACCACGGAATAACCAAACAGTCCATCCCTCCGGGGTCGGCAAATTGGTAGCCGACTTGCCTGGAAGGATACTAACACTAAGCTGGTACATCCGGATGCCACCACAAGTGGTATATAGGCCAAGCATGTATTCAATTACCTAAACGATGAATAGTGAAAGTGGTTGCATGGCTCATCCATTAGTGGTTGATCAACACCAAACACTATCTTTTATGAGCCGGCTCTGAAGAAGGCGATACTGCCGAAGCGTCAGCTACTGTTGTATTGTATTGTGTTTTTCTATGGAAGTAAATGTATGCTGTTTAAAAACCTCGCGATTGCTGAACAAGAAAACGATACATTCATATTCCAATGCCGAGGTTAGTAGAAAGTCGATCCTGGGTACTATCTTTTATCCTCTGTCATTTTAAGACTGCCTCAGAAATCCTTCGTGAGGAGGATGCCACTGTTGCGACCGTTTCTCGCAGTCCCACCTGTGTGTTCTGAAAACTGTTCCACAAGTGAAAACTCTTGTTTCTGTCGCTTAGAATGGTACTGAAAATGCTAAAAACGGTAAACGGGACACGCTACCGCCAGTGTGATGTGAATCTCTGGTAGGAAAGTGCTGGTAAATGTAGCGTGATCGCGTAGTCTTCAGGTGCTTTACAAACTTATTTGGGCGAATCTAAACTAAAATTACAACGTTACACTCTCGTTCCTCCATCGAAAGACTGGGTCGATTCCAGTACTTTCCTATAGTTGTCCTTTGTGCAATAGAACGTTTAATGACTCCTCCTAAGTAACAACTAGCGCAATAATTCTTCGTTCACTTCATGTTCGTCAAAAGTTTCCATTATGGCGTTATACGTTTAGTCCTCTTGATGACGCACCTATCGAAACAACGAACTCTGTGTGATATCAAACACACGTATGACTGCGAAGGTTAGAAGTTTGTTCATGGTAAATCAGTACAGGATGACTGAAAGTCGAACACCGACATTTTTCCGTCTAACACATGAATAAAAGTTTTACTTTCTAGAAAATCAATGTAAATGTATTTTGATATCTAGGCGATCCTTCAAGACTACCTGTGGTTCCCACTACTTCTATTCCTTTGCTGTTCTAGTAACTGTCATCCACTGCGGCCGTCAAATTCGCCTGTGTTCAGCTGCGACTTGAACATCTGAGAATTGATTCCAGCTGTGAATACAACCGGCCTACGCGTGTAACGAACACCTTGGTCCAGTTTTTCGGAGATCTTATTCAACATCATTCTGATTGTCTCGGGGTTCCAATCCGATATTTCCTTGTCCACTTTTTCTTTTCGTCTCAATTCTTCTCATGCTGATAGTTGTTTAGTTCTAGGAACGCATTACGGTGGACCACGATATTCTTCGATGAACTAAACTACGTATACTGGATTGGTATTAAGTATGTCTTCAGATGACAGCGCTGGAGTTTCTTTGCATTCCACGCAATTTTTTGCACCGCTCACAGGTCGAACTCATGTTTCTGCTGTTTATCATACAGCTGCAAGAACTCCAGCGTGAAATGAGTGAGCATGTATAGCAGGTCGGTGTCAGCTAGTAGTAGTTCAGCAGCTTTTGTTAGAAGCTCAAAGACACCTCACGGCGCTCATTGCTCTCTAATGAGTTCTTTTTTCTACTCGTCGTTCATATCCATTGAATATCCGAAATGATGTACGATCTTCTCAGTTGGTGAACTTCTAGAATGATTTGGTCTCCTACACACCAGGTGCTTCTCATGAATTGAGTTATTTTCCAACACTAATGGTACTCACTACGTTTGCCGAACTTTTATTTTACTTCTGTGATGACCTACGAAATTTGAGTAATGAGGGTCCTATAAATCATACTAAGGCTTTCAAATATCAGGATGAAATGCAACGGTTATCCAAGGTAATTTGGCAATTCTATTTATTTCTGGGAAGTGCAGTGATTAGAGATGTTCTGCAATGCACAAGCGGTCATTGGTTCGATCCAGTGTTCCGGATGAAATGACCCTTCCATTCGACGGCGTTATTCCACTTCTGATTTCCAGGTTCGTGCTATTCTTCGGATTTTTTTTCTTTTGACGTTGTCATGGCTTCGCTACGATGTACAAAACGACGAAACTCAATAAGAAAATGAGCATAAAGGTGACTTTTGTACAATCTCTAGCCTTAAGCGTACTTCTTTCCCAGCGTGGGCATTGTGGCGCAACCATGCTGGAGCTAGCCGTGGAACGTGGAAGATCAGCAACTTTGCGGAAATCTAGGCCACCATACAATTGTTGTTTTCTTAAAGATAAGCATAAGGTCAAATTCTGAAGAACCTTTTCCTTTGTATCTTTAGTTGGCTTAGAAATTTGGAAAATCAAAGTGTTAACAAATAAAACAGGGTATCGGAATAAGAAATAACCTATGACGACGTGAGGCACTTGCGCCTCTTCAGTGTATCTCGTTAAATTAACTTGCAACTGCTTAACTTTTTGCTTAATGCTTATTCTCTATGCTCTTGTTGAGCGAACACGAATTGCTACTTTATTCTTATTCCGGTAAAGCTGACGTTTCGGCAGTATGGCCTTCTTAGGCGCCGTTCTTTTACGTGCCTCCACGGCAAAGTTTTGTGTGGAATACAACCGCAATGATGCTCTCGGCATCTACAAAACTTGGACCCAGGCCAGATTCGAACCCTTGATTACCCATTCCAGGAACTATGTGTTACCCACTCCACTACTGTAGCCTTTGCTTCGCCTGTCGAATCTGACCTGGGTTCCATGTTTCGCAAATATATCAGCACGATCGTGGTTGTCTTGCAGTTAACGATTTCAATTTGACGGCGAAATCTTGGTTCTCCTCTATTTTCCAAGAATTCTAGATAAATTTTTTTTTACAATACAGAAAATTTAGCTCGAAACGGCAAAATAGCTAGTAGCTAATACTTACTTACTTGATACTTGAATGGCCCCTCCTCACTGGTTCTGTGCGAGCCAGCATAATCTCCACTTTTTGGAGATTTGCCGGTTAAGCCATTGTGGTTCCCTGGAGTCCCGAGGTCAGCCTGTCCAAAGTCTGCCCCAGGTCTCCACCACCACAGGCAGTCGCAGCCCTTGTGGATTAGAGGGAGATCCACCATCATACGACTTTGATACCAGGACGGTGGTGGATCATATATTGGTTTTTACTCTTAGCTAGGCTTCCTGATGGAAACGCCGGACTCTTTCTCAGTTTAGGAGGCTCTAGCCGGGAGGACGGATCCTCCA